TATGCACGATTATTTTTTAACATGGAACTGAAAATTGGTATACGATAGTGAAGTGAATACATAGTAGGTGATGCTGTAATGGCTGTAGTTTAGGTAGTGTATTGTAATTAGTGTAAATGGTAGACGGTAGTGTAGTGGATAAAGTACAGATGATAGTGTAGCTAGGGATTTGGGCTAATGAGCTGCAGCCCCCAAAACCAATCCGAGCAATACCATGCACTTACTGAACCAAGTGACTGATTAACTGCGATTTCTCTTTGACATTTGGCTCATCCTTTTTGGGTAAAATTCAAAGACTAATCATTTTTAATATTTTTTTTCTTATTCAGTCAATGGCAAGAGAGAGAAAGAGAGAGAGAGAGAGAGAGAGAGAGAGAGAGAGAGAGAGAGAGAGAGAGAGAGAGAGATTGTATTTCATGACTATCGCATCTTAAAAATAAACAATTAATTATTTTATCTCATGGAAGGAAATAAATTAATGCACTTACGACTCTACTTAGAACTAGAGACTGTAGTTTACTCACGAGACGACGTTGAGGTGTAAGAGAAACACAAGGACACGTCATAATATTCATAGACCCCAGAAGTACAGTAGATTACAGTTTACAGTTATCATTTGAGAGTGAAGTTGAAGTATATCTGTCAACAATCATTTGAGAGTGAAGTTGAAGTATATCTGTCAACAATCATTTGAGAGTGAAGTTGAAGTATATCTGTCAACAATCATTTGAGAGTGAAGCTGAAGTATATCTGTCAACAATCATTTGAGAGTGAAGTTGAAGTATATCTGTCAACAATCATTTGAGAGTGAAGTTGAAGTATATCTGTCAACATCTCCAATCTTATAAGTGAGTTTGGATCAGGTGCTGTATAAAGAACCGCCCAAATATACATAGATTAGCAAGTAAAAACTCAGTATAATGTCTCTGTTGTGACACTATACCGACTGAATGAACCACTAAGAGATTTATTTATTTATTTTTTCCTGCTGGGAGTCTCTCTGTCTCTGCCAGGCGTATGATCACCCCAGGTCAAAACACAGTTACAGCTAATTCTCGTCCATTCCTGCTTATAAAACAACGTATGTCATTGTAACTGTGATATATCATTTCACATTTCCATGTCGGTGTTTTCTGTTAGGACGTTTTAGGTGTATCTGACCACTGTTTTGCCTGCATGTTAATTAATCAGACACTGGTTATATTTTTTTATAGTCTAAGACAATTTTTGCTTGTTATCGTTGAAACACAGAGGCAAGTGGACTCCATTTACGAATGTGTTGTTTTTTGTGGTGGGGGGGGGGAGGGTTGGACTATTGTTTTGTTTACCTGCATGAGAAGTAATCAACGACAGATGGCGTTTATAGTTATTTATATATAAAGCTTTGTTAAATATCACTGCAGTACTGAAGTGAGGGTTTTATCAGGAAGTGTATGACGGACGATCATTACATTAAGCTACATGGAAAAAAATGAAATAATTGGACTCAAAGATGATTAAATTCTTCGGTGCACTGGTAGAGAAAAAAAAATCCTTGCTAGTTAATATTTCAGTTGAAAGGCGATCCTGATACCCTTTTTTTCCCCACTGGATGAAAGAATTGAGCTTCATTAGCTACACCACAGAACGAATTCTTTCATTGTTTTTCATAGATTTTTTGCTCGTTATCGTTGCAGGGCATATAGGAAGTTTTCAAACGTCAGTAACATATATGAAAAAAACCCAATATTACTTAGACACAATGGAAATATTTCCATTTGTTTTAGGAAATCTTTGAGAGTTAAATATTGCAGTTCAGAAGTTAATTTAGAGTATTATCTTTATAGGAATTATATTATAAAGTAAATAAACTTATACAACAAATATTAGACACAAAAAAGACTAAATTTGTTGGAAAGTCTAGAAAGTATAGTTTGTCGTGTAAGATGCTGCGAGGGAGTAACACTTCTTCATAGTTTTGTTTCTCTTTCTACCTAACCTAACCTAACCTAACCTACCCCCCCCCCCCTTCATCTCTAGAGAAAGTGGGACGGTAGAAGTGTAACGACCACGGTCATACACGTCAGTTAACGCCAAAATCAAATGATTCATATTACGCTCAATAGCCCACAAAACATGTACCTCTGCTTTTATTTTGAGTCCTCCATCTGAGGAGTCCGTTTTCTCATCACTTCAAGACGCCTCAGTCCTCCGTTATCCCATTTTCTCTGACTTACTGAAACCAACCTCTCTATAAAATGAATTTGAATGTGAGAGAGAACACCCTTGTTTTGAGTCAACTTAGATATGTCTGTTTACAGTTGGAACATTCAAGAGTGGTGTTGAACGCTTCAACTGTCCTTATTGTTAGTAAGACGTGTCAAGTAAGCGAGTGTTAAGTTTGCCAGCTAGAGTGGCGTATTTTATGTCGTCCGTGGGGATACCCATGAGTTCTGATCGCGCCTGAAGTTATATTATTTTGTCGCCCCGACATCAGAGAATCTGATGTTTATAGTTTAGTTAGTGTCAGTTGTCTATTTAAGAAAGTCATTAATCTTCTGAACAGTTCCTGTCAAACTCAAAATTCTCCAAGACTTAACGGCCGTTTGACCGGGATGTGGTTTGCGGTCAGGCCAATAGAGTTGCGAACGCATATATAACTCCATTTCACCTCTTTACTGACAAACTCAATCTCTGATTAAATCATAAATATAGATGTAGAAAATTAGCCTGATCTGTGACACTGACGGTCACAGCTAGGTGTCCAGTGACTACTTTGAATAGAGGACCTATTGTTAGTAAAATTAGTCTTTCTAGTAGGAATATGCCCTCAGGCCCGTATATATGCAGACGCGCGATGAAAATCACTCCTGTGATTTTTTCTCCACTTCTCCAGGTATGTTCACGTGTGTTCCACGCCGCCATATTAACTCAGTTTAACTTAGTCATTTTTGTGAATATCAGTGTTCATGTTTTAACATAGTACCTTCCGTGCCAATTGAGTCAAGTAAAGTAGAGATCTAGCTATCGTCTGAACCGGTGCCAGACGTATGTTTTGTATAGTGAAGTTAAATATTCTCCTTCTGTGATTTCTTCTCCACGTCTCCAGACGCTGTTGTGGGGGTTAGCAACACTCCTGAAGTTCGGGAGCCGCCGATGGGCACGATGTCTCTCGAAGGACGTCTTTAAGGTGGAGAGATTAGAATCCCAGGGCGAGATTCCTTGGCAGACGCCACGGCCCACCGCCACGAGTCAACCTTTCCCGGGCCAGGCGCTCCGAGCTAGCGAGCGAGCCTGTAAACAACTTTGGCCCACTGACTCGGTCGTATGATCATGGTCTATCTACTGTTCTTGGTTATATGTATGGAGCCGTATTAATATCCATGCTTGGGGATGACTAGAAGAAATATAGTCATCCCAGGTTAAGTATTGACCCACTGAATGAGAGTTCAAGGTACCAGGTTGTTCCTTGCGAACTAACAGGAGGTATTGTATGTTACTATAATCTTGGAGTTGCCCAGTGTGTTAGGTATTCATCTGTAGTAACCATGAAAGAATAACCTGAGAGTATAATGTTCTGATCAAGAATTGAAGGGGTAATTTGTTACTGGTTAAAGTAAGACCTGAGGGTCCAGTGATATCTTGTGAATAATAGTTACGGAATCTTACTTGTCAAAGAAACAATACAACAGTTGTCTTATGAAGCAATGAGTAATAGTTGTTGAATGGTATAAGTATTTGGAGGTGTTTAATGAGGGAATAAGTTCTTGAAGTGTTTGATGACTTAATAAGTTAATTGCGGTTCTGTTTTGTCTGAGTGAATCTAAGATGCATCTTATCCACTCACTGTGTTAATAAATATTGAATTAGTAAATCTACTAGTATCACCACTCTACTCCTTCTAAACATTGGTTCCCAGAAAATACTACTTACTCACGTGCCTATACATCTACCACACTACCCAAAACCCTTCCATGAGTTATGTTATATAATGAAAAGTCTGGGTGGTGGCAGCTACCCGGTGTAAGCATAAAAAGAGTTGTACTAAGAGTAACATGGTTCCCCAGACTAACCCATGTATAAGAATAGACATAAAACAAAGTATATTTCCGAAAGGTAAGAACATTGAAACTGAGAATCTAATATATATGAATGAAATGAAAGACTTGGAAAGTACAAGAAAAGAAAGATAAGACATGTATGTACATTGTGGAACTAACGACACCGCATAGAAATTATTAAATATATAGATCATGAAAGTTTAAGATAAAGAACATACATAACTGAGAAGAGAATTACTTGTATAAGAATCTAAAGTATACTTATAACTAAAGAATTGAAGAATCATAACAGAAAAGAATATCTGAAGGGTAAATTATGAAAAGAGAAAATTCGGCCCGTTACAGAAGTATCACGTCTTACGAATGTCAGGAAAATATATAGAAAAAGAGGTGGACTGATTTCGATAAACCTTGACAAGTGAGTTAATTGGTAGCAAAAGGAACCACAAGTCTTGATGAATGTAAGTTAAATGGAAAAAGTTCTCGTCCACTAACACGATTTTGTCTAGTTCTTTCCATTCCTCTTTGGGGGGGGGGGGGTGATTCCTACATTCACGTAACGTACATAGAAACGAAATATACTAAAAATGTGTATTCATCTTTTGGTTAGGTTATGTTAGTGTATTAATGCAGTGGATGTTGATATAATTTACGGTAATTGGTGAGTTGCTTTGTAATTGTTGTCTGCGTAATTTAAGAACTCGTTATAATGAATTTATTACCGATATTATTGTTATATAATATGTAATAATATATAAACTAAACATTTTAACGTAATATATATATATATATATATATATATATATATATATATATATATATATATATATATATATATATATATATATATATATATATATATATATATATATATATATATATATATATTATATATATATATATTTTATGGTTGGTTGTTGGCGGCTAATATATATATATTTCACTAGCGCATTTTGACAGTCTTTTGTTTTTGGGTACCATCAGCTAGTGTTGGTGCGGGCGGCCTGTGAACTGATCAGTCACCCACTGGTTTGCTAAGGAGGAGAGCTCTATATGGTCTCTGGTCCAAAGGCGTGTCTCTATACCCACGGGGGGCAACATAGTGCTATGTGGTCCACCAAATTATCCGAGAAGCTAAAACACTGTGAGTCTCTATTTATTGATTTTGTATATAGTGTGGAAACAATAGGGACTGGCTATTACATCCTAATTTAATATAACGCCAATAGGTCTTAGTGTAGGTAAAATATGTTTACTATTATTACTATTATTTGTTATTAGTGTATTTCTTATTATATAATGTATCTGTACCAGGTTAAGACTGACACGTTTATGTTGATGTTTTGAGAATGCTGACATTTTGGTGTGTTCTCACTTTTGTACGTAAACTTTGGCACGAGGTTAGGTTAGGTTAGGTTCTGGGTCTATGATAAGTGTGTTGGAAGGTTTATCTTTTGTGAGGAATGCAGGTACAACTATCTGCTGAGTTGAAGAATGGCACACACACACACACACACACACATCCACGCAATAATCATGTACAGCCGGCCACAAGAATAAGTATACTCCTACGGTTCGTGTTTGAGACAAAATATCTGGTAACACTGTCCTGAACAGAACAGACAAATTTACAAAATGACCCGTAATTTTTGTTTTATTCATATATATATATATATATATATATATATATATATATATATATATATATATATATATATATATATATATATATATATATATATTATAAATACATTTGTGATGAATGTTTTACTAGTGTCTTGTGTTTATATTACAATTAATAAATTGTATCCAATGGTAGTAAACTTGCTGCCGAATGGGATTGCAGTTATCGTACAGCTCCCTCCTCCTCCTCACTTTTTATCTTACCCTCCTTTTTTTTACTGGTGTTTGGATTAGTAAAGGAAGGAAGAGGAGTAAATAGAAGAATAAAGAAGGGGAAACAGAAAATAATTAGAGATAACAGGTGGGGGGAGCTGAGTTTCACCATGCGTCTGGATGTGCACTTTCAACGTTACCAGACCATTTTCAGACCTTACAGCTACAGTGTGTGTACTTATTCCTGTGGCAGACTACGTACGTATGAGTGTATGCCTCTGTCTACCCATCAGTAATTGGGGGCCTGGATGCTAATCGATTTGCGGATTGTGTTCCGGGGTAATGGTTAGCCAGTGCTGTTGGCGAGTTGTCCGGTCATCTCAGACTATTCCTTGACACTAGGTCATGCAACTCGTTAACTTAGGGTTTGGTTGTTGTGTTGGCGACAGCTTCTACACCTTAAACAAATTCACGCCAAGGTGGTCCTAGGGCCGGCCATCCTCGAACACAAGGGACAACCAGTATGTATGTATGTATGTATGTATGTATGTATGTATGTATGTATGCATGTGGAAGAGCAAAATAAATATCTTGTTTATGAGTTGTTGAGTTTTATTATCTCTTGTCACCGTTGAAGTTTTCGGCTGTGTCAAAATAAACCTACTGTAAAATACACATTATATTTGACCTTTAAAGTGATATTCGTGTTGCTGAAGAACTGGTGAAGGTCTCTGGGTATAAAAACAAGAGACTGAACAAACAAACAATATACATAACAACAAAAACAAAAACAAACCCAAAAAGCATAGACGTAAGGTTTAAAAGTTACCCTAACAAAGACACTGAGAAAGCGGTGCAAACATACCACCATAAGAGACTCCCTTGACAACACACAGTATCCACCAAGTCTTAGAATTCAACAGGAAGCATTTGTGGCCACATTTGGGTCTTCCCCGTGTCTGTGGTCCTGAATATCAAGTAGCTGAGAGACCATACTGACCACTCTGTCAATTTATGCCTCCCTCACCTCCTCGAGCACCATTTTGGACGTGAGCATGTTAAAGATTCTCAAAGATTCTATATTATTTTCTCCGCCTCCTTCACCCTCTCCACACCTGGTCCATCACCTACCTTACTCACCTCTCCTCTCCCTCTCTCCCCACACCTCCTCATCACCCCTTACTCACCCTCCCCCCACCTGGTCTATCCCCCTCTCCCACACTTGGTTAATGACAATGCTCTTTGTCGGTACAGAGAGTGTACACCCGTGAGATACTACACAGTGTTGGCATTTATCATCATGAGACAACAAGAGTCTCGTGGATGAGTTATTACCATACTGTCTTTAGTGAATCGGAGCAACTGTGTGTGTGTGTGTGTGGCAGACTTCTTGTAGATGATAATAATATGAATATGAATAATATGAATGTGAATAAAAACAACAGCAATAAGAAAAAGACATACAAAAAGAACAATAACACTAACAAAAACAACTGTAATAACAATAACATCAATAACAATAAAAACTAACAATAAAAGCAATAACAGTGTAGTCATGAATGTAAGTATTTAAATAGACAGAGTATCCACACACACACACACACACAGACACACACACACACACAACGCCGCGTCGATGATGATTGTATATTCAGTTGAAATTATTACACTAAAACTCGATTTCTTGGCACCTCCATCTTAGAGAGCACCAATCATTACCCCAGGCATGAGTAAGGCGACAGTTCTTATTGGTTACTGGTGCGGGTGCCGTTCACTTCTTGTTAATTTATCATTTATAGACCCGTGGTGCGTTTTGTGTGACTTGCGCTGTAATGGTTGGTAGAAAGAGAGCCAATCAGGTGTTTGTTGTGTGACTTGCGCTGTAATGATAGGTAGAAAAAGAGCCAATCAGGTGTATGTTGTTTTATCACTTGCGCTGTAATGATAGGTGCAAAAAGAACCAATTAGGAGCGTGTAGGATTACTGGTGATACAGTTACAGCGTGTTGGATACTATGTAATCTGTCGCTATAAAATATGTAGCGATCATTATTACCAACTTTGATTACAGAGGTTCATGAAATAACGTGCTTTCTGTAAACACAAGGGAGAAAATGTTTAAACACACACACAGAGGCGGCAAGACGCCTTTCTTTCACTGACCGTTGTTACGTTACGATAATCTTCCCTCCGCACAATCTTCAACAGTTAGTCCTAACCTGCTTTTTATACCTGGACTTATTAATTTCTTAGATTGGGTGGTAGAACAAGCCAGGGAAGTTATTTACCTCATAATGCTTTTAAGATGAATACTCTGATAACCACAGAGGCAAAAAGAAAACACAAAGTTCCCAAGTTCTTTCGTGTAGTTCGCATCTTTTTGGGGGTGAGTGTAGTTAGTTTGTACTTAACCCCTTAAAGATATGAATTACCCGAAAGCACTTGGGAACTTTATGTTATCTTTCTGCCTATGTGGGTTACCAGCATATACATGGATCACGCGCACCAATAGTGATTTACTAGAAAAATTACAATATTATTCCTGAAAGTTACAAAACAATTCCGGTAGGACTATAGGATACAGTACCCAATCAATTGCTATCATGTGTCTTTATCTCCTACTTTCTCTATCGTAAAGTAATATAAAGAAACGCTATATTTTGTTTTATATCTGATGAGAGTAAAGGAAATTAAATGAAAGTCCTCCAACTTTCTGTAAAAAACAAAACAAAAAGAATAGAAACGCTCAATTTGCCTTTTCTTTGATGAGGGTGAAGGAAAAAACCCACAAAAACAATCGGTCTTTTGAGTCTCCAGTGAGGACAACAAAGGCATTGGATTATTGGTAAGGTCTCCCCGGCAGACTGAGGCTGAGGGATGACATGACTGGGCACACTACCCCTACCCCTCTTGCCTCTAGCCTCCGGGAGTCAACCATTAATAATTGATTTATTGACGTCTATCTCTGGTGACTTTAATGACGGTGAATATTTTTTTTTTGCTTGAAGTAATGCGCCTCAAGCTATAGACGGAAGGCTGGAGAGACGTGGTCTAGAGGAGGGGAGAGGGGGGGGGGTGTGCCTTACTGCATATAGTGTACTTGTATCAAAGATTAAACAACTATCTTGACCGTGAACACTTACAAATATTACTATCAAACATGTCCGTTATATCGAGGATCCGTTGAAAGCCCCATCTAACGGACTATATCAAGAGAGGAATCCGTTATATAGAAGTTTTGAGTGAGGATTTTATACCTCAAACTTGTAGTACTATTTAAATGTGTTTCCGATTCCTTCCAAATAACTCCTTCAGTATAAAGCCTGATAGATCCCAAGCCTCTTCTCTCACCGGGGGAAAATATGACCCAAGTGAGAATAATTGCATTGGATTTACTGAGCACTAAATAAAGTATTATAATTAAAGTGGTGATTAAGGATTTACTTTTTTTATAATGTGTTTAATAATTGTGTGTGTGTGTGTGTTTTGGTTTGTGAATGTGCTGTCATGGTGCATTAAACAGTATATGAGTGTATGTGGAGGTATAGATATAGCGTATTACACCCCGTATGAGTGTAGGTGTGGCAGGGTGACTCAGAGACACTTAATAATTCACCATAAGTGTAAACCTCACCATCGACCCTCACAGCTGACATCATGAATACACGCCAGGGCCACATTGTTGCTCCTCTTTCAATCTTGTATGGGGCTTTGTGAGTCTCTCTTACCTGGTGTAAATAAATTTAATGTGCTTTTTTCTGACACTATTGTAAGAAAATGTTGAGCCAGAAAATGGATAATATAATATAATCAATACAAGAGATTATAGACTCAATGTTGTAAAGTAAATATAATCGTGTGTTATAGGGTGAACATATTACCGAATATAACTATACAACATACCTATATGATGAATACCTATATACCTGTACAGTCTTAGAATATAGCTATACACCAAACGATTATAGAACAAAAAAACCTGGACAAGATTACAACAATAATTGAGTAAAAAAAAGACATTTGAGATACGAAACACATCGAGTGCAACACTACTTACCAGACAATGACTTAATCCTTATGTGTAGTTACATGGCATTAACAGAAGGGTTCAGTACTCCTGTTAAAATGTTCAAAATTTACTAGAGAACTCAGAACCCCTATTTATGGTCATTTTTTCAGTGTGTACAGAGGAAAGGGTTCATTACTCCTGTTTATGTGTGTTCTTTGTTCAATATGCATAGAAGACGTGTTCTATACCTCTGTTCATGTGTGTTCATATATACTTAAACACTCCTGGTAATATTTCTTC